TTATAAGGCTGATGTCTAATGAAATACTATGCGCATTGCATTGTAGTATACTTTAATTTACAATATTCTATACTGACAAATAATAAAAAGACAAACAATTAAATGAAACTACTAGTTTTAATAGGAGATTGCTTTACGTGCTTATATATTGCTTATTTTTAGCGTAAACTACTGCAACATTAGAGAGTTTTAGCTTGACGTTTACGGCAAACGTCAAACCGCTAACGAAGTTTTTGATTTTGCAACTCTATTATAACAGCTTTTGCACCAATTTTGAAATATAAACAATCATTAAACTTGTGCTCTTTAGCAATGATTTAAAAGAAAGCAAATTCACCACTAGTCACGTATTCACGAAAGCAGTAAATTAAGACTTGGCGTTTGAAATTTACGTTTGGCGTATAAATTTCATGCTTGAACTGCTATGAGGGCTTGTATAGTCGTTAAAGCATGAAATATATACGCCAAACGTAAACTTCAAACGCCAAATCTTAATTTACTGCTTTCGGGAATACGTGACTAGTGGTTAATTTGCTTTCTTTTAAATCATTGCTAAAGAGCACAAGTTAAATAATTGTTTATATTTCAAAATTGGTGCAAAAGCTGTTATAATAGAGTTGTAAAATCAAAAACTTCGTTAGCGGTTTGACGTTTGCCGTAAACGTCAAGCTAAAACTCTCTATTGACATTTTCTGCAAACTGCTATAGCCGCGGTTATAAGTTGAAGTCTTTGTCCTTGCAGTCAAATCAGTTTTTATACATAAATTTTACGTTATTTACAAGGACATTTTAAATAAACTTAAAAGATACCTGTATGTATTTTGGTATTTCGCGGGTTCGATTCCCACCGTTGTCAGACAAACTTTTCAGCTTGCCCGGTGTAGATGCACTCTCAGAGTAACACCACAAACATCATACTCATCTGAGTACATAACCTGATAACACCAACAAACACAAAAAGTATTGTATGAGTTGTGTTGTTTGCAGTTCACATGCATGTTCGACGTTGTTTAAACATAAACTTCGGTTCAGTCCCTTTCTATTGTTTTTGTCTGCGCGGTCTGCAAAGAAAGTGCCGCAATTTCGTATTTTGACTTCGATTTGTAAAGAATAATACTATGGTATTAGCTGGGGAAAATGGGATTAAAACTGTTGACGATCTTCATGACTGCCACCGAAAGTCATTAAAAATGGCCGTAATAAATTCCACGATACCAAGACCGTGGTATTGTGAAGAGCCTTCGACCAGTATCAATACGTAAATATTTTGTAAATGGAAAAAGAAGACAATATTTTCGCGCAAACCGTCTGTTCCGTTAATTTTCATTTGCACGTTCCATTTATTTCCTGCCAGTGTCAATGGTAAACAATCAATGTTTCTGCTTTTAGTGCAAAGAGGACCCGGAAATATTTAGAAGAACAGCAAGACATTGGGCCCAGGTCTATGCGAATGGTGAGTTTCCATCCACCATGATTGCAGACGTACTTCCAAAGCGACACTACCTCCATAGTCTCCATAGTCTGACGGACTTTAACTCCAAATTCAAGATGTACTCTTCTAAACTGAGTTGAATTAAGAAATCTAGTGTTGCAGGCCAGCTGCAGCTGGAGCTAGGCTGTTCGATACTGGACCTATACTGGCTAACAGATCCAAAAACGATTGACTATTTCTACGGAAATCAAATCTATAGACTTGCCATGCGCATACTCACTACTTTTTTGGGCTTACAGTAGTTTCAACCCCGAATGATCCACATTGTATGGAAGGAGTTATTCTTGCCTTTTACCTTAATGATTGCTGTACGCTTCACGTCTAGTATTTCTCGATACATTTGTATAGCTCTTTCTTGTGACTTTTTGCTATAGCCTAGGCTAAACTTTGCGTGTTTAATGACAGTTTCCACGATTTCTTTTGATCATGCATGTAGGCCTCGTGTAATGTAGTATTTGTTAACTGAGAATACCCGTCCACTTTTCCTTGTTCGTTTTAACACATGAATACGAAACGCAGTTATCATTTGGAAATAGTTTGAGCTTAATGTTTTAAGATGATATTGCAAGAATATGTTGTTTGTTAACAAATTCGTGTTTGATGAACGAAACAGTTATACTGTAGATTGCATATTTTGGGGAAATTATTGACGTTTACTGTTACGATACAGTATTAATACAAGTATTGAGTTTCAAAATGAGCTGGTATTCTCTTCGTATTTACCATTTTACTCTTTTGCAGCTCCTGGTAACTCGTATGGATTTGAGGAAAAGATTAGAAATTTACAAGAAATGGGATTTGACGAGGTACTCTGTCGTTCAAATTTGGGTATTTATATATTTATTGACAATCTTTGACATCTTAGACCAATACCATGTCTATAGTAAAGGATTGTTTTTCACGTGGTGGTGTATGTACTGTACAGTATATACACTAATAACAAATAAAGACAACTATTTTATCAACGCCGTAATCATAGTAGTGTAAAACAGTTGAGGAGAAGGACTTTCCAAATATCTGTCAAATATGCTGAAAATTCAGTGGCGAAACTACCTGCGAGCTACAAACCTATTGCAAACACATCTTGTTGGCAAGTTGTTGGAACAACATCGTCACAACTTGTTAACAAGCTTGCTGCATGTAAACCTGTTGTGAACAAATCTTGTTGACAAGTTGCTGGAACAGCGTTGTCACAGCTTGTTAACAAGCTTGCTACAAACCTATTGCAAACACATCTTGTTGACAAGTTGTTGGAACTGCATTGTCACAACTTGTTAACAAGCTTGCTACAAACATATGTATTACAAACACATCTTGTTGAGAAGTTGTTGGAACAGCATTGTCACAACTTATTAACAAGCTTGCTACAAACCTATTACAAACATATATCATGATTATTAGATTACACTGATATAGAATGAACTAGACTCAGTTCCGAAATATCGCATACTCGAACCGACCTGACCGCGTAGCTCAGTTGGCAGAGCATTGTGCTAGTATTCCAAAGGTCGTAGGTTCGAATCCCACCGTGGCCAGGCATATTTTTCAAGCCTGCCCGGTGTGGATATACACTCAGAATAACATCACACAAGCATCTTATTCACCTGAGTGCATTACACCAACACAGCAAACACATTTTGTTGAAAAGTTGTTGGAATAGCATTGCCACAACTTGTTAACAAGCTTGCTACAGTACATGTAAACCTGTTGCGAACAAATCTTGCTGACAGGTTGTTGGAACAGCATTGTCACAACTTATATTAACAAGCTTTCTACAAGCCTGTTGAGGAGATATCTTGTTGACAAATTGTTGGAACAGTATTGTCACAACTTGTTAACAAAGTTACATGTTATCACACTTAAAAACGCACAAGTTGTTACAGGTCAGCAAACAAGTTGTTACAAATCTGTTCACAAACGGCCAACAAGTTGTGTTCGCACTGCTTGTTCCCAGTTGTTGTAACAAGTTTGGAACAAGCTGTTAACAACTTGTAACAGGCTTGATGCATTATCAAACTTGTTACAAGGTTGTTCTGACAAGTCTGATACTGTACAGTCATGATGTAACAAGAATGTTACAAGGTTGACGGCACAATGTTGTAGCAACATTGTTTTTCATGATTGTATTAGACTGGTTGGAACAACCTTGCAACAAGTCTGATAGTATCAACAAGATTGTTATAAGTTGTTTTAAACAGTTTGTTCCAAATTTGTTGACAACCTGGGACAAGCAGTGCGAAGACAACTTGTTGACGGCTTGTTGGCAGACTTGCTACAAGATGTGAGATTTTTGCGTATGTACAAATCTCACATCTTGTAGCAAGTGTTTCAACAAGCCGTCAACAAGTTGTGTAAGCCGTCAACAAGGGCAAGTGGTCAAGAAAGTAAAGTCACACCACTGCACTATTGTTTTCAAAAATATATTTTTAAACCATTTTGAAATATTAAAAATTTATTTGCTAACTTGTTAACAGTTGCTGGGAGTTTTTTTCATTGTGTTTTTATTCCTGTTAAGGCTATAAATTGCTGTTTTTCATTCGCAAAACTCCGGTAATTCTTGAGCCGCCATCATGTTTTCTCTACTAGCAGGATACGAGTTAATATCCTAATAGTCAGCCGATCAGATTGCTGCCTAGCTTATATCCGGTAGTTGTCCACATAATAATGTATATTATACGTTTAATGTCTCCTTCTGAGGGAAATAGTTTTGTTTTCCCGATGGTCTCAATGTCCCAAGACGAAGTCGAGTTTTTAAAACAAATGAACTATTTCGTGCCGAAACAAAAATCACCAACATTCATATACAACAATGGTATTTCATGACAAGTGTAAGGCGTAAAAAAAAATACCTGTCGTTCCGGTTCCCGACCGACCCTATTTTTTTCCGCCGACCCTATTATTTTTTCAACGCAATTGACCATGCGACCCTATTTTCTCCAGGTGGTTACGAGCTGCTCATACAGCGTGCCAAAATGGCGTCTGTTGTCACACTAATTATTGAACCAAATTGCCTAAATTCGTCCATAGGAAATACCCATCTCTAGTTAATATTGATGTCGGGACTCTACTGCAAATCGCCCAGCAAAAAAACCCCCGCCAAAACCATGAAAAAATATTGAAAAAAAAGAAGCTATTTCCAACCTACGGACCCTAATTTTTTCACCATATGAAACCGGAACCACAGGTATTTTTTTTACGCCTAGTGTAAGTAAGTTTAAAATTAAAAGGATCTACAGTACTTAAATGGTTTCAGCAGCATATCCTGCTGCCTAATGTGTATTTTTCTTCTCTTTCGCATTCTTTATTTTAACACAAACTTGGAAAATCGTAGTTCATAAACTCGCGAGTTGTGCCGCCATTTTGTTTATTGTACATAGCATTGCATTGCATTTATCTAAAGTCATGCGACCACAAATCAGCCAATCATGTTTGGTGTGCGCCCTAGCCATATGTATACCAAGTCATATATACAGTTTACAGCATTGTAAATATATTTTCTTATTTTCTTAGAATAAAAGTCGAGTGTCGTTGTCAACACACAACTGGAATCTAGAAAGAGCCGTGGAATCATTATTTAATAGCTAGTGGATGTTCGGTATGATTAATTGAATATTACATCTTTCAAACTCTAAAGAACATTAAAATTGACCATAAACATGGAAATATAAAAAGACAAAGAAACCATTGAACAGTTCGGATTATCCCAATCTTTTAAGACAGCCTCGACTCGCGTTTCAGCCAATTAGAATCCATGTTCCTATTGACGTTCACATTTTAAAACAAAGCTAAAATTTCAAGATGGCAGACGAAGAAGGAGTTCTGAAACTTTTCTAAAGAAAACAACAAATTAATAACTGTTCTCCACAGCACGAAAGTAAAAACAGGTCAAAATCACGAAAGTCTATCTTGTTACTATCGATATATAATTTCACTGCCTTTCGTGACTTCTACAAAAGTCTACCAGAGATCTAGCTTGTCTACCATGTTCACACTTGGCACAACGAAAGTTTATTCACATTGATAGCATCACATTTGTTGTTCAGTTTTGTCATTGTTGTAAATCCTGTCTCACAACAACTTGAATGGCTGAATGTCCCCAAAGATTGGTTGTTAATTATAAGAACTGGCAAAGAATAGGCACATACTGTAAGAACTGGCAAAAAATACTGCGAGCTTTATGAAAAATTCGTGAATGCAAGAAAAAACGAAAATTATTCACCTTTTGGTGCGATAAATCAAGATTTTTAGTCGTACCTTAATGGTGCCTGACTGGTACGCCAATGACTATATTGCCGCGTGTACTTGCGCTAGTACAAACTCAATACTCTACTGTATATGGACCTATACTCGTTAAAATAAAGTGCATAAAATACAAGTTTCTGAAAGGTATTCTAACTACGAGTTAGAAGGAGAAACACAATTGCATGTACAGACAAGCGACTCCGACATTCCTTAGTCCCATCCGTCCAATCATGTTTTATGCCAATACATGTCAGATCTAAATATATATACCAACTAAATTACAGTATTGAATACCTTGGGCTAGGAAAGGTCATATGGTAGAGCAAAAAGTAAGTACGCATAATGTAAAGCTCCGCCTACCAAATTGGTGCGTGGCTGAAAACAAGGAAGCACCAGAGTATAATATTGGCGTACCTTCGGTACGTAAGGGCATGCAGTAAAACACTGACTACCGGAACACCACCGGAACACCACCGGAACACCACCGGAACACCACCTAACCCTAACCCCAACCCTAACCCCCAACCCTAACCCTAATCCCAAACCCTAACCCTAACCCCAAACAAAATGGTGGTGTTCCGGTGTTGCGGTGGTGTTCCGGTGTTCCGGTAGTCAGTGTTTTACTACATGCCATACGTAAGTACGCGAATTGTCGCACCCTATACCTTGAAACCACGACGCAAACGGCCGACGCAAAATTCGCGTCAAAACCTCCTTCAAATCTTCACTAGTCGCACCCAAGATAGCCGCCATAGCTAGAGACAATGAATTTTAACATTACCTGGGCTGTTTGAAAACCAGCCGCCATTTTCCTTCGGAACAACGGATTCCTGACGTCACGGCTGTCTTAAAAGATTGGGATAATCCGGACTGTTTAAAGAGATAATCGTGAACTTCTGAATGAGATGCGCCTAACTACTACTGTAAGTAAGAGCTTCCCCTTTATTACAAGCACTGGAATTTACTAACGCCCCGGTCAAACGAGGATGTAAAATTTATTTGAATTCGGAATCCTATAATCAATTTACAAATATTGCTATTCTTACGAGCCGAATGATTATAAACAAAATATTTACAAGGCATAATAAGAATATATACAATGATAGGAATTAATAATAAAGAGGCTGAAATCAGATAAAACTGAGATGTTCATTAGAGAAAGTCCTGCCAGACCCCTTTTGAAAGACGGTGATGTACAGTAGGTGAAAGTTTCAAATCAGTTGATAAGTTATAATATAGCTCCACCGTGCATAAAACTTTTTTTCAAGAAATCGGTTTTAGGTTTAACCAGTGATAAGGATTTGTTCCTCAAAATTGCTGGATTCACATGCATATAAGAAAAGTATTTTTATGGTGTGTAGGAGCAGATCCATTTAGAACATTGTACATCATAATGCAGCTTTATGATTTTGCCATCTTTCATCCAGGGTCGACCAACTCAGTTTATTTCTTATTTCATTGCATCTGATATCATGCCCAACTTGAGTTAATGAGAGTCGTTATAAGACATTAGACAGATTTAGATCGAGGACGTCAAAGACGACGTGGAAATGGCGTGTTGTGCCCATGTATGGATATGCCACGCCATTTCACGTCGTCTTTGACGTCCTCGATCTAAATCTGTCTATTGATGACCATTCGCGTTTGACCACCAACTCTCCTCAACTTTCAACTTTGAGTTCGTCCAAATTTTGACGAAAGTTGATGAGAGTTTTCAAACTTTTACGTGTTCCAAACGAATAGTATCACCTCCCCCACCCGTCAATGCCCCCCCCCCCCCCATATATACACTCTGAAAACAACCTGGTTAAAATTTTGCTGGTTAGCCTTGAAAAAAACCTATTTAGGTTAACTTAATATTCCTAGTTATTTCATATTTTAATGCAACCATGCAGGAATCTGGTTATATTTGACCAGGACGTCCTAAATTAACCAGATTATGTTAGGTGGATAAATAAGTAGGGTGTTTTTAGAGTGTATATGAGCCCATGAAAAGATAGATCTAGAAGAAATAGAAATATGTGAACGAAGCTTTATATTCAGAAGTTCACGGCACTACAGTACAGTACAGTACAGTACAGTACAGTACATCTAGAGAACGTGTTTTTTTTTGCGTTGATAACATTAAGTCGTCAATTTTGTACATACAGTATACTGCTGTACTGCTCATTTTAAATGATACTTTATATAAAACTGTAGCACTGTACTCATTATTATTATAGAGAGGAAATAGAGGGGGCCATATTCGACTTCCATTACCGGCACTGTTAACTAATCACGTGCATAAACGCATTCGATTCGGTAGGAATCGTTAGTTGGAATCGGTAGTTGAAGATTAATGTGCGTTGTTATTCAATGCAAAATGTTGATCGCATTACAGCCTTTCGATAATTACGTCATGAGTACTTCCCTAGCTTGGCCTCGTTCTCATGAATCAAGTGTAATAGTTGAATGGAATGGTCGAAAGGGAGAGTTTCAAGGTAGTTCAAAATTTAAACTCAGAGTTCGCTTTAGTTTAGGTTGAGCGTAAGCAGACCTGGAAATAATTCCAGTCTTTCTTGGGACTTGGTCCTACGCTAAGGGGGAAATAATTTCTTTGAAAACACGATGGTCAAATTACATATTCCGAAATTGTGCCTCCAAATAAGTACGGAACACGAAATGTATTTTATAATTTAATAGCAATAAACTATACTCCCAACTCGCTGTTTTAAAATCCCAAGTGACAGTCCCAACATTGTTCACTCCCCCCTGTTTTCTCGCACGTGTTCAGCAATCCCCTACTAACTCTAAATGTCCATCGTTGTCCTTCAAAATACACTAATGTATAAAGCAAAATAACGTCATTCCTCCCCCCATGTGACTCATAAGGAGTCGCATGTTATACTAGTAAACCCCGATGTCTCAATGTTTAATTGTCATTCGTCCTTCTCATCCCGTTCAAACAGTTCCTTATTCTTTGCTTCTGCTTTGACCGCTGCTTGTCGTCTTGGCTTGAATTATTTTGCATTGGTATTCAATTTCGTCTCGCATTTCCCCACGTCGCATTCCAGTTCCAAGGGATAAATCAGTTGAATCGGTCTTTCTATAGTCGATTTAGCGCATTGAAGTTTAACTCCCCTGACAACGTTATCTTTCCCACGAATTAACTTCGTAACTTTCCCCATTTTCCAATTGTTTCTGTTCTTCTCGTCGCCTTTGATCAACACAATATTTCCTTCATTGGGACCAACTGTAGTTGACTTGCTGTTGGTCTGATGACGCTGCCGTAAACTCGTCAGGTACTCTCTTTGCCATCGTCTCCATAAATGGTTCTTTACGCTTTGCAAGTACCTTGCCCTCTTTCGTAGATCACCGTCCTCAATATGATAACATTCTAGCTCTGGCACAACATTCGACTGTTGTAGCACAAAGGAATTTGGTGTAAGAATAGGAAATTCAATATCATCCTCTAAGTAGCTTAGTGGCCGGTTATTCATACAGATTTCTACATCTAGAACCACTTCCGACAGCTCTTCAAATGTCAAAAGTCCTTTGCCGATAACCTTGTAAAAAGCACATTTGAAAATTCCGATTAATCGTTCAAATTGTCCGCCCCACCAGGGCGCACGTGACAAATTGAATCTCCACTTGATCTCATACTTGCTCAGTTCACTGTGGAATTTCTTGTCTTTCATCACCTTGTTTAACCATGACGCAGCCGCTTGGAACGTCTTCGCGTTGTCCGAGTAGATAAGAGAAGGTCGACCTCGTCTGGCGATTAGTCTTTTGAGACTTCGAAGGAAAG